CCTAAAACAACTACGATAGTAATCATCTAAGCTCAACAAGCTACTAACCTCTATAACAAACTCCGTCGTTCTCCAACTTAGAACTGCATCCATCTTGAATGGATCTACATACACTTTCACTTGGAAATAAAATTACTCAAGAGAACTCTTATCCCAAAACTATAACATACATCCTAACAAATTAACATAAATCTTTCTCGTTTTCGACACTGTAAATTCAACATAACTTCGCATTATCGTCTTTCATTCTAATTAATAAAACCAAAGATTTTCAAATGATACCTTTGATTTCACAAATTAATTTAAATAAATCTTTCAATTGCTCCTTTAATTCACCCAACTCAGACGCTGACATCCCGTACAACACTGAAGAACAAGTCTAGTCCCAAAGACAAGCTTAACAACAAACTGAACTTATTTCCAATATCATCACATGATAAATTAATATATTACAGCTACTGGAACCATTTTTAAAATGAAGCTTATTTCGTTATCTTTCCAACGATTCAAACGAAACTCAAATCGGATGCCCGGAACTCTAGTTATGAATTTTCGAAGTCCCACCATAATTATGCAGTTTCCTGCGATTCGCTTACAGAAATTCCACTCCGAAACTCATTTGTCTTCAACTTAGACATATTCCAAACAACTCTTAACATATCTCGTGCTCTCAAACTTCTTATAACTTGAGAGATGCATTCTTTCACCAAAGTTCAGGTTCCAAAACACCAGGGCAACAATTCTTTTCGCAACGCTACTCACTTCTTCAAGTTTCGACTCAGTCTCGCGATTCGCAACTACTTATCAATGTCAACTAATTCCGACAATCATTTATGTGATCCCAACACAAAATTTACAGCAACTTTATTACTCCATCGTTGTTCAAACATCGATATATTACACTTGCTTCGTAAATCAACAAATATTACACCGCTCTTCATTCTTCGAGAAGTAAGCAACAACAATGTCTGATCAATTTCTCTCAAGGCGTTCTAACTCGACTAACAACAAGACCTTGAATCCAAGTCACCTTCAAATTCTGGAACAACAAGACTCCAACAATTCTTGCATTATCGTCATCGGCAGCACACCGAACCAACACCTTTTAATTGAACATATCCGAGAAGCAAAGCTTCTCCCCCACTTATCTTCAACCAACTTCCTGCAATTAAGGCAAACAAGTACCGACAATGTTTCACACACTTGTCGCGTACTAAGGAACAAACAACACTAGATAACTTGGTCAGATGGACCGACCTGCTCTTATACCACTAATGTAACACCCCATTTCTACCCGGAGGATAATAAGAAAATCAGAGTTCAACATAAGTAGGATGCTACATATTTTTGAATTGAAATCAATCTTCATTTAATCGCATACAAACAGATACATAACACTTAACTCGGATGAACCGATAACAATCTGATTTATTCTTCAAAATCAAACAACTTTTTATTGATAAGCAACAAAATATACATACTCAACTTTAATTCACTTAACATCTTTTATTCAACTAAAACAACCTCAAGACAACAATTATTTCATGTAATCAACTTGAAAATTCGGAAACTGAAATAATAATCAACAACTAAACATCAAGCGATCATCCCCCCGAGTGCTACGTATCAGAGCGACAACACCGACTCGAGCTAACAAGGTAATAACTATCCTTCTTGATTACCTACACATTACCAACAGAGGGAAACATTCAAACAGAAGGGGTGAGATATCAAACTATATAATTAGTCATATGATAAATAATATATTGAATCAGATCATATAAAATCACCACTTCACAACTTAAAAACATCTTTAATCACAATAAAACATTAACACGACATAACTACTAAATTCACAGCTTTTAGATAATACTTGTCACAATAAGTCAACAACATAAAGCAACAACAAATCTATCTTCACCACAACTCAAGATGAAATATCAAATACGACTCAATCACAATGAACATGCATGTGGTACCATCGGAGAAGAACTCTCAACTTAAAAATTGCCAATTAATAGAGGCATCAACAAGGCATAAGCCTTCGTCACAGTTTTCCAATACAGGCCTTCACAAAATCCGCCAATACAGGCCATCACAGAGTATGCAAATGTATGTGTCTCAATGAATGCATTATCACATACTAACAACAATCATCATTCATCGCAAGGCATAAGCCCACGTCACCATTATTACCAGTAAATAGAGGTAATTCATCATCATCTAAAATCTCTGCAACTTCACATTATCAACAAGAATTCACAGATACAATCACAACAACACAACATCTCAACATTGGTCATGTGCCTACAACATAATATTGCCCATAAATAGAGGCAATTCAACCAAATTCATCATCACCTGTAATTTTATATTTTTCAGCAAGGTATACAACACAATTCCATAAACCGGAACCATTCAACTTAATTCGACTTCACCTGCAAATCAACTTTATTCTACATAATTCTAACAAAACAAACCAACTAAAAATACCCATATGTATATACGACTCACTCCGACAATTTCAATTAATTCTGGTTAACTACTTTTTACGCCTAAATTTACAAATTCCGCTAATCGGTAATGTTTTATATACTGTTATTACTACTATTTAGTTATACTGCTACTAATCAATTTATTCTACTAAATTACGCTACCTCTGTTATTTATCTTCCTGCTATTATTGGTCTCCTCCAAAACTACTTGTTTGTTATCTACAACTTCTATTACTACAATTTCCTGCCAATGACAAATATTAGTTATAAACCAAAACCAATTTCAACCTATTCCTCCTGTTAATGAAATTCTCCGTTATACTTTCTGTATGATAATTTGCAATTTCTACATCTACTGATACTTCCTAACAATGCCCTGCTAAATTAGTCCATACACTATTATTTCTGCTACTCTTACATATACATCATGCTATTCATTTGACTAAAGTATTACAATTTATTCCCGCAACTTCTTTAATCCAATCTGATACTAAATTATATTACGAATTATATTAACTTATTAATAATATAAGATATGACATAGTCTTTCCACCACGCCTATATGTTTTTTCGAGTCTCATCTCAAGACAACAACTCAATAATAGCCATAACAACATCATAATAGAAACACAATTTAAATAAGTTGCAGAACAACTTCATCAACACATTATGAATATTCACTGACAACTAAAATTACAGGACTGATAATATTCACAGAATTACAATATAACTGAATCGACAACAATTCATGGCATAAATTTATACAACCCAACCCCACATACTGTTTATCATAATACCCAGTTAGAGAGATTGAACTCCACCCTTACCTTGTTTGGATTGAAGATAACTCTAAGGGTCTCCGATTGAATCTCCTCTTGGCCGCTTGATGTAACTTCCACGTATCCCTCTTCTTCTCCTCAAAACCCTCATTTTTCTCTTCTCTACAACTTCTCTGGTACCAAAACCTTCCAAGATTTTTTTCTCTAGATCAGAATCAAAGCTGAAAATTTTCCCAAATATAAAGCTACGGTGCGATGATGATATCTCCAAACTTAGACCTTGTTTTGAAGATCCCAACGGTAAAAAGTTAGATGTAGGTGTTGCGAACCTACCCTCAAAATCTGGCCATGATCCAACGATTAACGAATCGGGGATTGCCGATTTAGTGAGACTGCTGCAATAAAAACGGGAATGAGTTTCTCCCATCTATTCTCTCACTTTTCTCAATTAACCTAATTCCTTTTATATCCACTTAACCTTGTAATTCTAGTAATTCTAGTAATTCTTATTGGGCCAATATCCACACTCCCATATTTACTACATGATATCACTTAAATAATCCCAACAATTAATCTTATAATGCTCCAATATATTAAACCACCATTTAATCAAATAATGTCACATGGAAACTTAACAATAATTCACAACATTGCTTAACTCGAACTAATAATTTTAATTAAATAATTAATTAAATTATCATGGCGTTACATCTTTCACCATCTCATGTTCGGGGAACATCATTTAATGATCAATTAGAACCACCAAAATGTTTTGATGTCCATGGTTTCCTCGAAATCATGAGCATTTAACTATTTTTCTTTCAAAATGACTTTAATATTGAATTTTTAGCAATCGGTTTAACACAAGACCCATGATGAACAAATTATTCAGAAAATGGATGTTGACCTTCTTACTTATTAAGATATTAAACCAAATACTTATGTTATTGACAGGGTTCTTGAGTTGACTCGTGTTCCTGGCCTTCGAGCTTGTTCCTAGTTTATTTTTGGCTATTTAAGTCACTAATCGAGCAAAAAAGCCCTAAGTACTCATAGAAGCACATACTCATCAGCGAAATCATGAACTTTTTTTTATTTTTCTTCAATTCTTGAAGCTTATATGTGGCTTCATTGCCCTATAAAATGCATGCCATCTTTGATACAAATTTTGTTCCATTATTTAGTGGTTTCAATTTTTCCATGTCTTATTTTTATTCTCCATATTCCTTTAGTATTTAAAACTTGTGCGTTGACTGCTTTGATCGTTGATTCATCAACTTCTATGTTCTCTAGATTTCCTTATTCATCCTAGATTACCAATATTTAATTTAATACACTACGTCGAAAAAGACTTACGAAAGCGCTTTTTTTTTTCCTTTAAAAGCGCTTAAAAGCGCTTTCGTAGGTGGCGCTGCTATAGGTTTTAGCAGTGCTTTTTGTTTAATGAAAAGCGCTTTCGTAGGTCTACCTAATACAACACTTTTTCTAAAAAGTGCTCTCTTAAGTAGGCTTTTGGCAGCGCTTTTTTATGAAGAAGCGCTTTCATAGGTCTACCTAAGGCAACGCTTTTTTCTGTAAAAGCGCTCTCATAAGTTTTCTTTTAGCAGCGCTTTTTTCTGGAAAAGCGCTGTCTTAGGTAGGCTTTTAGCAATGCTTTTTTCTGGAAAAGCGCTTTCATAGGTGGTCTTTTAGCAGCGCTTTTTCCTGGAAAAGCGTTGTCATATGTTTACCTTAGACATCGCTTTTTGTGAACATTTCTTGCCATAGCAATAGTTTTCTCTAGGAAAGGTTCCCATGCTAAGGTACTATCCATGATCACATCTCGCCCTTTATTTAAAGTTGTCACTAGTAGAGATGATGCAGCATCAATCGAAGTCTGATGCACCTGTTTAGATTTTGATGACAAGCTAATTAGGAAATACTTTGAAAATAGTAACATGAAAGTTTCGGACAATAGAAGCATACTAGTTCAGCACTTTGAAGCATTTCATCATGGTGGCCCTTAGAGTTAAGAGCTCTATAAATGACATCACTCTCCTTAAAAGCATCTGCTTCAACAACCACAACATTGGATGCAACTTCTAACCATAATGATCTGCCAAAACCATTTAATTAAGGGCAAAACAAGGAAAAAAGGTGAAGGGTGACAAAATTTAACACATGTCATAACTCATAAGATCGTTTTTTTTCTTCTTCTTATTTTGGATACACATGGTTCATAACATTTTCAACAATTGGAATTGAACAATGATCTAATTAATATATGGAAGAAGTAGAGTTAAGGTGATACTTACTCTCTAAGAATGTCTTTAAGAACCGTGCTTTTTCAAGATCCCATGCCTCCACCCATAAGCAGCAACACTGGACTCCTCTCACTCTGGACAATGGAGACCTTGTCATCACAACTTTGCGAGTCGCCCTTTATTGCTTTAATCTCTTCAACTAATGTAGAGAACACTCTTGCCACCTTTAGTTTCTTTGTTATTCTCTCAAACCTATGTTCCCTATAAAAATAGCATAAGACATTTAAATTAGTCCATATTTTTGAAAGGTTATTTTAAAGCAAAATTGTGAGTGGATTATTAATTGGTATGCACGTGTAACAGAAATTTACACTATTAGTCTAATAATCAATAGATCAAACTTTGTTTGGCATGGATTATAATTACTTAAAAAATCCCGGATATGGCTTACTATAATTGATTTTCCGTGTAAAAATATTCACACACTAACATTACCTTAAATTCGGTCTTAGGCTCTGTTTGTTATTAAAAAAAAACATTGCACCAAAATTAAACTCAAAATTAGATATAAATTTACCTTGTGGCTTCCAAAAGAATATTTTTGAGATTTATTTTGGGTTGGGACTGAGAACTTAATACCTATGATTAAGATGATTAAAACATCAATATATTAACATACAATTACCTATGTCAAATAAACAAAAGCATGTATCAACTTAATAGTTAATATATTTCCCAAACTATAAAATTCTTTCTTAATTAAGAAGTTACACTTACATCTAATTAAATATCACCATCTCATAAATATCTGTAGAGATATTTTAGAAATCGTCATAACAAAGTGTTATAATAGTGAGGTGAATTTTTTTTTACAAAAAGTATAGTGAGATATGACTGAAAACATGTGTAATTGGTTTTTTTTTATTAAAGAATTATGTACCTGGGTAATGATAAATGAAGCTCGGTTCCAATGAAAAGCAAAATAACTGAGGATGCATCTTTCAAATTCTTCAATCAATTTTGCATATAGTGCATTAGCATTGTCCCCATTGGCTAGATATTGATATATATTTTCTTTACACCCTTCTGTGTTTCTCAAGTAGTCCTGTGCCAATCTGCACAACTCTGGAACCTCGCCGGCATCTACAAATCCCATTTGCCTAGCTGCATAGACAAATGTACAAGTAGCCATAATCAATTCGATAATAACACAAATTCATCATCAAATTCACGTCCAAACTAAAGTGGAGAAGCAAAAGTAAAGTGGTAAAGAAGTTACCAACATAGTGAAAGAAAATCTCAAGCTTGGCAACACGGCCTGACTCCGTTTGATTTAAGTAAGGAACAATCTTCTGCTGGTCAACCATCACTGAATTATCACCGATTAATCCGACGATGGAGGCTGCCATGACATGTGCGAGGTTGCTCATCACATTAACACTACTAGTAGTACCATCTGAGAATCAAATCACAAAAATTAACAAAATATAAACTGACGACAACGTGTTTGTGTAAATGCGTAAACCAAAATAAGTACCTTGCAGTTGTAGCTGCATGTTGTTCGAAGATTCAGAAGTAATCATAGATCTATTTTTTGAGGGTTGATATGAATAGAGATGGGAATTGGATGGATGAATAAATAGATTATCTTGAAATGTAAAGAATGATAAAAAATGAGACTCTGCTAACATTGTCATTTAATGGTCTCTCCAAACACGTTCATCATCATTTCTTAGAAGAAATGGCCACTTGCTTTTTTGAATTGATTATAATAAAAAGCGTCCCACGTCTCCTGATGACGTTTTTTGTGGTGAAGGATTGGATAAACGTTCACTTTAGTCAAATTCTATTAAGTTGTATATACTTAACGTGTGGATTGGATGACATGAAATTGTTAACCAAACAAAAAGCACACGAAAACCAGACAAACACATACGAGATGAGGAAAAAAATGAAACCTGATACGAATTGCAGTTGGCCGGAGAATTGGAGTGCCGTTGACCGTCGTAGAAGCTCTGGTTTAGGGTTTTTTCGTGAAGAAAATCTGACTGAGAATAGAAAAGTGATACGAATTGTGTTTTGATATTTATTATAAAACTACCTACGAAAGTGCTTTTAAAAGCGCTTTCTAAAGGTCATCTATAACATCACTTTTACATCAAAAAGCGCTTTCGTAGCATATTCTATAGCAGCGCTTTTAAAAGCGCTTTCTAAAGGCCAGCTTTAGCAGCGCTTTGGAAAAGCGCTTTCTAAGGCTGACCTTTAGCAGCGCTTTTGAAAAGCGCTTTCTTAAGATACCCTCTGAAAGGCCAGCTTTAGCAGTGCTTCCCAAAAAGCGCTTTCTAAGGGTGACCTTTAGAAGCGCTTTTGAAAAGCGCTTTCTTAAGGCACCCTTTGAAAGCGCTTTTTTAAGCGATTTTTTTTAAAACCTACAGCAGCGCTTTTTTCCAAAAGCGCTTTCTTTTATGTGCTGCTAAAACTTATTTTTGGCGTAGTGATATAGATGGTATCACTCCCACAACATGAATCCACTATTTTTTTTTCCATTTTAAGTGAGTAAATAAGGAATCCTTGACCCCAAATACTCTCATAGGTTATTCTTTGTGGTTATTAAGAGCAAAAGGATTCCAATTTACTTTATTAATAAAATGATTCAAGCTAACCTCCTATAAACAAAGGGTTTATAGTTTTTCTATAAGCCCTAGGGCACAATGTGGGTAGACTATAACTTTTGAACCACTGCCATATAGGTATTCTACAAGGAGGAATGTAATTTTTTCTCATGCTAGACAATATGTTTGATGGATAGATATGAGACATATTTTTCCCTTCTCATTTATTTCTTGGAAACTTTCATCTTTTACCTTACTGCTTTGTTCATGAGAGCTTTGTTATTCTTAGATACTTCAATAGTTTTAGCAAAAGCCTTACCAAAAACACAATTTCACCTAGGGCACAACATTACTTCTCGTTTCATTTTTCACTTTTTTTGCTAAAACTCCACCAAGGTTTTTCCTACTTAAGGTTAAATCCCTTAAACTTAATAATTTTGTGTACTAATTCCTTATCTTTTAATGACTTTATTTCAACCATACACATAACCAATTTTCTTTGTATTGTAGGCGTAGAAATTGTGTATGATACGAATGGAGTAGTGGAGCGTGATTAATGAAAGAATGGCCAAGATCTTTTTACGTTTTTTTAATCTAAACAGTAATTGTATATCAATTGTATAAATTTCTATTTTTTTAGTTTTTTTTGTAATAAAAAAGATGCACTACTTCATTTAGCAATAAAAAAACTATTAGTTATAAAACTTTTACTTTTTTATTTATTTTTTAGTTGAAAGAAATTAATATGAGAACTTCTTCCTACTATTTTTTATAAAATTTATTAATGTATTAAAACAAAAATTCAAATTCACATTACATACTATATTTGCAAATTAAAAGAATAAATTAAAATGAAAGTGTAAATTTAAATAATAATCAATTTAATTATTAATGGAATATAAATTCCAATATCAATATTATTATTTTTAAAATATGCACAAAAAAATGTAGCTTGGGGAGGACCGGCGGGTGGAAATGTGACTTCGGAATTTGAGAGTCATATGAGAGAGTTTTATCCTGAGTTGTTTGTTTGAGGTAATTTTCGAGAACTGAAAACTTTTAAGTGGGGGACAGGTGTAACAATTCGTTTTTCTTTAGTAATTATTTTAAATATTATTTATTTTATTAATTATTACTTGGCATAGTAGTTAATTATATTATATGATTTTATGAATATTTGGATTAATTGTGTAATTGTGTTTTGGGTCAATAAGTGTTAGAATATCAATATTGAGTATTGGGCCTTAAATGTCATATTAGAATGGGTGGGTAAGATAAACTCATTAGTGAAATAAGGGTTAATAAGAGTTGTAAGAGAAAATAGAATTAGAATTGAAAAACAAGAGAAGAGAATAAAATGAGAGAAAAGAAAAAAATAATGGAGAAGAGGAGAAGAGAAGAAGAAAAGCTTTGAAAATATCTACATCTAAGGTAAGGGTGTGATTTCTTATTATTATGGAATTATATATGAGTATGTAATGGGCAGTAGCATGAGATTAAAGATTTGTTCTTCTGACCATGTCTTAGATCATGTCTTAGACCATGTCTTTAGACCATGTCTTCTTACCAGATCTTTAGAAGGACCACAACCTCTAAACGATGCCTGGTTGAAAGCAGACTTACTACACTTCTAGAAAAATCAAAACTTCTGAATTATCAGAGTCTGATTTATCAGGTTCTGGTTACAAAACTTTCAGACAATTTATAACTTCGGAAAAACTTCGTGGAATCAGAGCACATGTTGCCAGAGCACATGTTGACATTCTTTCAGATAGTTCACAACTTCTGAAAAATGCATAGTATCAGGTCAACTTTCTCATGCTTCCAAAAAGTTCACAACATCTGAAGCGTCAGAGTCTGATCACCATACCTTCAGAAAGATCACATCTTCTAAACAATAGGTGTTATCAAAACACTATTACCTTACTTTCAGACAGTTCACAACTTCTGAACATTGTGAAGTATTAGAGCTTGATTTAACCATATTTTTAGGAAGTTCACAACTTCTGAAACATATGTTGTATCAAAGTCTAGATCAAAGCTAATTCACTCAGAAGGTTCATAAATTATGAAGAATAAAATGCTCCTAGATGCTTAGCTCATCAGAGCATGCTTCATGCATCTTGATCATGTCTTTTGATGCTAGATGATAATCTTCTGATTTCCAATTAACATGTATATGAAAATCAGTGAATTTTCACAAAGTTTCTGAATCAAACATCAAACTTATGGTTAGAAGCAAAAGCATTATATCATGTTTGGGCTCAAGATTTTAAGATTAGATGCTATCAAAATCATATACTCTTTCTCCCCCTTTGTCATAAATCAAAAAGGTTTAAAAGACAAAAGAAATTTTTCATTAAAACCAAAGGGATAAAGATACAATTGTTTTATAAAAAAAAGAAAAAATATTCTTAAGTTCTAAGATAAAAGGATAAGGCTCTAAGAATTCTTATAGTAAAACTTTTCCATGAATTGCATCAGCACCTCTGACAGTTGCTTGGACGAAGCTTCCTGGGCAGTAATCCTTTCATCCTACTTATAGAAGTGTTGATGGATGGGAAGATTATCCTTCTGTTGTTTATGCAAGACAACCTTCAACACAGTTGGCTGGTCTTCAGCTTCTACAACTTGCTTTCCCTTAGAACCAGAAGGTTGATCATCAACGAAAGCCATTTCAGATCCAGAAGCTTTAGCAGCAGCAACTTCTGAAGTACCAACAGAAACAACATCCTATTGCTCGGGTTTAGAAAACAGGAACTTCTGGAGTAGGTAAACTCAAAGGAAATTTTGTAATGGCTTTAAACCACTCCTCATACTTCCTCTCAATGTCTTGACGACAAATGGATTTCATGATATTAGAGTTAACCTCCATCCATCTTCTGAAGTCGGTCCAGATAACATATGTCTTCTCATGATCCATGCTAGATAAAGAACTTTCCAAAGTATGTTGGAGTGTGAGAAAAGCATTGTGCTTAAATTGTTCTATGAGCTCAAAGAATGTTGGTTGACGAACAAAGGTTCAATGAAAAAAACGATGGAAAAAGGTGTTTGGGATGTTATAAAAGGTGTTGGAGGGGAGCTTTATGTGGTTTATTTCTGGTAAGGGAACATAAGATCTTGCTTCTAAAACTGGTGGATTTATTTCAGTAGATTTTGTTCCAAGTGTGGAATCAGATGGGAGAGTTGAATGATTAGTTTTGGGTGTATGAATTGAAGTGTCATGATCAGAATCACCAGATTCCTCCATAGGAATATTTGAGTCATATAATTATATGTGATGGGTTGAAATTTGTTCTTCTTCTGAATCAGATGAAATCTTAACAGTTTGATCAGAACTAGAAGAGGTTTCGTTATCAAGAGAATTTTGAAATTTTGTAACTTAATAAATGTTGAAATAAGTGGGTTTAGAGAAGGATGGAAGGATTATTTGAAGAGGAAAAGATTCTGAAGACAATTGAGATGGTATAGAATGAGGTGTAGAAGATGATCTCAAATCCTCTTCATTGGATGAACTGACATTCTCCGTGCTTGAAGAGCGTTCACTATCAAACTTATGATGGACATCAACTTGTTTCCTTCAGATTGTAGCATAAACTTCAAAAAAATGGAAGTCTATTAGTGTACCCATAAAACTCAGCAATACCGTAGATACTTCTGAGAACTTTGTAAGAAATAATTTCTGGAGGATCAATAACAATTGATACCACAGCTGTAATAGACATACTGGGTGGTACATTCCTTCTAAGACATTCTTCCAAATGGCTGAGAAGAGTTATAGGTTTATCTAGAGTTGTGAACATGTAACCATTTTCAATGTCGGGTGCATAATAAGGTGTAGATCCTGTCATAAAATCTTCTTGAGAGAGAATGACTGAACAAAGAAAAGACTTCAAATTTCTTCCATCAAACAATTTTCTAGATCGAGGAGACAAGTCTTCCATCATATTTGTACTTTGGAGAGAATCTAC